TAGTCTGAATGTAATAGTTGCTCGTTGAAATCATGAATTGATCTAAGTTAGACCACCATTGAAAACGTGGAAGCACTGGACGGCTGTTTCATTCTAGTAGTGGACTTCTCCACAGTACACATCGACGATCCTGCAAGTGATAATCGAACCCAAGACGATTGATCTGAAATTAAATTGGTTCCTGACTTCAATGAAACTCAACAATCTTTACAATCTCATAATGTAATAGTTTCTTTCAAACTAATTTATCAACAAATAAAAATAATGGTAAACGTTATGTAGAATAAAACAAATTTACTTTAAATTTATTGTATCTGTACAGCTATACTGTTTAAAAATGTTAGTAAGTAAAATAATTCAATAATATAGTAGTACCAAAAGACAAACTAAGGACGTGGATCTGTCTCATTATGATCATGTCAGTGCATACAAAAAATAGTACAATTTATCAATTACAATTCATATTTAAATTATACAGCAACGTAATCAATAAGTTAACTTTGAAATATTAGTTCTGTTTCAGAAACTAGCTTTACCAACAAACTGATTATGTTGACCTGAACTTAACACTAACTTTTGTTTTGATGGATTGACTCAAAAATAAACAATTTATTATCATAATCAAGAAAACTGTAAAATATTAGAAATATTTATGTGATATACTTATTGCTTTTAGCCTCATTGAAACTTTATTAATCCAAAACAGTTCATATGGACGTTGAATTTCTGAGATAATATTCAACGTGATAACCGGTTTTACATTTAAGAGAAATGGTGTTAAAATCAAGGGAATATTAACGGAAAGCATACTATCACTATACAATATCTTAAACGGAATCACTATCAGAACTATCATCTCGTTAGTTGTAAGCGATAAATTTATATTTAACAAACAAATTGAAATGCAAGGCACCTGGTACTAACAAAAGCTTTCAGAATAAGTTTAACATTCTATTCAATGAATTGTTGGTGCTTTAACATTGCTCAAATAATTTTTTTGAACTGTCTGCCTTGTATTTCAATATATTACGGCACTTCAATAAAATCTCCAAAACATTGATTTCCATACATCGCATGCATAAAAAGCTTTTAGGTTAAAACAACATACTATAATTCCTTCACAGCTGTGTTATACACTTGAGTATTATACTGCTGAAGGCTAAGATAAGTACTCCTAAACAACCAAGAGCATAGATTTTTAATATACTTAATAATGTAAATGGCATCTATGATGTACCTGTTCATCACTGCTAGCCAAAATATTTCGTCAAGACGTTGAATGGCTAAACATATAGACTTGAAGTAATAAATACTGATTTTTATGAATTTAAGGCAGTCTAGACCTTCTCTCTTTCAGGGTATTGAAGTAATCTATGGTAAAAAATGTTTTCAAAACCTTTACAATGTAAATTCCGCCGATAATTTATGTTGAAAATATTGTAATCGTTAATAGAATTGATAGGCATTTAGTAGATCATACTCATCTCTTTAAGTTACCTTATTATTACTAAATAATTTATTTTTAATTTTTTTAATTTTTAATTACTAACCTCCTTATCACAATGACAATTTCCTCTTTTTTATTTTATCATATTTTTCAAATATTACTGAAAATTTATCACAACATTTATAGTTCCTTTCAAAACATTTTATTCTTTAGTTACAGCTTCTATAGGATTTTCCATGTGTAATCATTATAGTAACTATTTTAATTAGCTATTTATGAGGTCGAATGGAGTTTGAAAATGGTCATTATATTTTTTTGATTGTCATAGTGTGCTTTATAGTAGGTTGAAAAGGTTTTTAAAGCATAGATTGATGTGTTTGCTTAGTATAAACATTAATCATTAAATAACATTAGACTTACTATTGATAAGTCAAATTGTCAAATCAATCTCACATTATCATCAAACCTTATAACATATTAAACAACAGAAATTTAATGCCGTCACACATATAATAAACAAGAATTGGCAAACTCCCATAAAAGATCTATTAAAAACAGCACCCTTTAAGAAGCTAAAGAAAGCCAGAATTATGTAAGTCTCTTAGCTTCCTGCATACTTTTAATCGATTTACTAATCCAATACAACTATGTAACTGAGAAGTTAATCATTAAATATTGTGGTAGACCTATCATTTGAAAATGTCATATTTGTATTATTATTTTTGACAAAACCAGAAATATATGGCTTTCTTTAATAGGTAATTTTCTTTTTTTTTCACCGTGACTATTTTACTGTGATAGCTATCTATGTATATATGTGCTTAGACAATGGAATCTACTTGCTTTGAAAAAGAACGAATGACTAATCAGTCAACTACTCCTTAGTATAGCAATATACCATGGTGAAATAACTGACAGGCTCCAAAACAAAAATTTGGTTTTAATCATTTTAATCGATCTTACATGAATAACATAACCAAGAGCTGTTTTTTTCTATACTTATTTTAATTATTTGACTCTTTCAAATAAATTTATCAAAATACTGCAATCAATTTAGTCATTTCTTAAGTCGATCAAAAAAATCATGAGTTACACCGAAGAAGCACTTTTCTGCAATCTTCTTTTTTTTATGAAGCTTTTTTACTATATATTTTCATCATTCAAATATCAATAAATGATACGTAGTTCATTATCTTAAGACATTACTATGTATGCCTAAGCATCACATTTGATCAAATAATAATAATGATGAAAGAAGTTAAGCATATGATAAGTGATACTTGTCAATAAATTAAGCTTTAATAATGACAAGACTTGTTAAGATAAAAATGTATTCATTAAATTTATAAAATAATGTCGTGAATTTCCAGTCAACTAATTAAATTCAACATTTTCTGGAATGAATAACTCTGTAATTGTATCATATGAATATACTAAAAACAATTTTGAATAGATTAGATAATGTTTTTTAAATCGTAGTTTGATATTTGTAAATGAATTCAAAATGAAGCCTAACTGTTTAAGGTCAAATGTAGAGAAATGTTAAAATTTATTTTATATTACTGTGTGATATTTTAATATTTTGCATAACCAAACAAAAAGAACTACTGATTACCACTTGATATGTTACGCAATCGTTTCAATTCATGATTTGGATATAATATAATTAAATATTTTATTAGTGGCTGGATTTTAGCCTGATTCTTATGTCTAATCGTTTGGGCTGTAACTTGACAAAACTGCAGCGTGAGTGGGACGAAAGAAATACCGTTGTTCAAAAAATCATTATATACGTTAGGGAAATTTATCCGTTCAGACTGATTTGAAAGTCATTATTACCAACTTTAACTTCTCTAATACTTCCATCACACATTAATGCTTGCAAACGTTCCCTAAATTTTTTGTCAAACTACATTCAAGTTGTAAAATAATTTATACCAGTATTCATCGAGATTAGAACAAACAGCTTGACAAAAATTGAGCGCTGAGTATAGAGTAGTCATTATATGTGAAATAATCTCAGCGATTGAAATTTAAATAATCCCAACGTTTTGTCCACCAACATAGTCCGGACTTCTTCAGGGTAATGATCAAAATCAAAATCATCTTTCAAGTTGTCGTGATCGCTCATTCTCAATCTGAAAAGATGGATTTAGGAGAAACTTTCCCAAATCCACTGCTACATCTTAATCTAATGGTTTATTTGCTGATAGATAAAACTGTTGTATTCCCACAATTCATATATCATGTCTAGCATTTTTGAAATGAGCCTTTTCTTCATTATCAACAATGTGCTTAGGTAGTTATCTTTTAAATAGTTTCTTTAATTATTGATCTTAGAAATGAACTCTAATTAGTCATACTTTTGCGCCTTTTGGCTTTCATAAAACTTATGAAAATGATTGCTATCAATAATGCCAATCGGAGTCTAAATAAATCTTTCAAGAAGAGCATCAGTCGTCTCTTAAAAACGATGGTTGATGTCGATAAGTTCTCCATGCACGGGTTGTTAAATCATTATTAAAGGTCACTAGTTTGGACAATTTCTCTCCTGCTTAAAGTTTGAGCTTTCTGTGAATAAACGATCTTCTGAGAATAACTGAAACAAACATTCACCTTTATCTACGGCTGGAGCGTCAAAAGAGTGACTTAAGTACACTTTACATCAACTTAGCCTAACGAATTGACCATTACGTTTACATGTCACAATTACTACTCTGGAAGATGATCAAGCGTTCGGGAATCTCAAGTCTCGAGTGTTGGATCGTTGATTCACACTGTTGAAGTCTCATAATAAGGCGAAGTGGTTGTCCAGTGATTTCAGGTTTCCAATTGTGGTCTAACATTGATCTGTTCAAGATTCTAAAACTCATTAAACTTTCAGTAACACTTTTCACGAATCATCAACTTCTAGAAAACTTTGGACCATGTCTATAAAATGGGGTGCATTCTGTAATTATTTCTGAAATATAATCTTTTTATTTAAATAAATCAAAAGGTGTTTACATTATGGTGGGGGGAAACAATTCGTAAATGGTTTTACTGTGAAGTATATATTATATCTGAGTACTTGTTTATCATTATCCGATGTCTATTTATAATAATTAGTTTATTTCCATATATCACTTAATTTGATTTACTCAGGTGACTGTTTTATTTTGCTAAATCTTTTTGCTTTCAACTATTAGTTTCCACGTTTTTACTCTTATTTCTTTCTTATGATATTTAGCGCCATAAGAAGTAGGAAGAATTCTTCAGCATCTTAAGCTTAACATTATTCTACACAGTCACATTATTGAGATATCACGTATAGTGACCAAAAAATTTTACTTCACCTTTACCGATTTTGTTTATACGCTTAGTTAATTCGTCTTTCATATCATTTACTTAAAAAAACTAATTCCAACTCTGAAATGCCTTAAAGGAATGTGAAACTAATTAGGTCAAGTAAAATAACGTTCACTTATGTCTTATTTTGCTAGTTTCGTAAAAATGAACATTTATATGGTATTACTGTCAGTATAAATGCTTGATTTTTGAATAACTTTTCTAGGTTATGGAACAATCAGTCCAGTTACTATATACGGTAAAGCTTTTTGTATATTTCTGGTTACTGTTGGAATTCCGATGAATGTGATCCTGGTTTCTGTATTAGCTTCTTTGTGCATGCCCGTTATTCGCAAATCACGAAATGCCCTAGTTAATTTTTATTCTTATTCAAGCGGTCATGATACACATAATAACAAACATAATAAAAATTCAAAACATTCAAATTTCAATTTTTTCAACGAACGTAGAAAATTTATGGAAGATGCTAATCTACGACTGAATAATGAAAATCATAATAGAGTTTCAAAATTATTTTTCAAGCTTAAATCTCTTTTCGGACGACACATTAATGCTCCAGATAAACGATGTGAATCAAGTGTACTTCATAGATCATTATCCGACAGGTTAGTTTGCTGTTTTGCTGACCAATTAGATTTTTATATATTAAACAAGTTGTTTAAAATATATATTCTCGCATATTAAAGCACATGGTTTCCAATCGCTATCTGAATAATACCAATTTTCAACTTGATCTATGAAAATTCATCTATGCAAACCTCCTATAACAACGTATGTGTGCACTCGAGTCCAGAAATGTTAATTAAATATGTGAATGCTGGAAATAAGATTCAAATACAAAATAAAACTGTTATAAAGAATTCTATAACTACTTAAATATATACTAGTAAATACCGAAAACGATTTCGAAAAAGGTTTGAAATAACAGTTCATTCTTATTCATTATTAACAGAAATTTGTTTCAACGTATCCAAGATAGGTTGTGGCCCTAAATCTAACTCTAAATTGGATCACATGAATAATTGCTAGCAAAATACATATGTCGCCAATTCTCGTATACAATCACCGACAGGAATCGCGTTGGTGAATGACAGAACTAAATTAGTCAAATACGAGAATGGATTTTTGAATACGTAACTTTTGTATAACCGTTGATTGGATAGCGAAGCAAAACAAAATGACGCGCAACGCAGAAGGAGAGTGAGTCAATTCAGTTTAGCCAAGCCTGAATCGATGTTAATAGTCGAACAAAAATAAGTTACAGATATGTGATGAGCGGGATAAAAAGCGTACACACATACACTCATATAAAAAACAGTGAAGGTTGATAAGCGAACAATTAACAAGTTCAAAATGTGACTCAAGTAGAATGAATAAACTGGTCTGTCCGAAAGCTAGAATAAGCCGTGTGGACTTAACATAGCAATCGACACCACAAGGCACTACTAAGTACTATTCTTTAAAAAAGTTGCACTTGCAACAAGAAATAAGGCAAGCTATGTTACCACTAACTCAACGGATGAAGGGCAACAACCAACTGACATCATAAGAACAAAAAGCCTTGAAGAAACTCAGAACTAGAAAAGATATTGTCATCGTTCCAGTGGACAAAGGGCGCACCACAGTGATTATGGATGAAGGAAAATACATCAAGAAAACCGAGGTACTACTCGGTGATAGAAGCATATACAAACTGATAGACAAAAATCCAGTAAAAAGTTAGACAATCAAATTTCAAAGACTTTAAATAAGCTCGTCAAAGCAGGAGAAATAATAGAGCAAGATCAATGGAGAATGAAATCCAATGGACCTCGATTCTACGGCAGGCCGAAAATACTCAAACCAAACATCCCACTGCTTCTAACTGTAGCATTACCCGGAACGCCAACGTACAATTTGTCAAGAGAAATTTCACGAATGTCGAAACATTTAGTTGGTTTGTCGAACCAATTCATCAAATCCGCCACACAATTTCTTGATCAGATTAAGAAAATTCGAATCAGCGACGACGGGCTGATGATATCCTTTGATGTTATGGCGCTATTCATTTTGGTTGAACAAAGCTTAGCAGAAGAAACTCTATCCTTGCTTCTCACCATCGACGGAAATCTCGCAAAGTACACAAAGCTTCAAAGTCGAAGTCTACTAGAACTCATAGATTTATGCCTAACGACATATTTTTAATTCAACAACAAAATCTACGAACAAACAAAAGGATTCACCATTATCGGGACTTGTCGCAGAAGCAGTGATACGGAGACTAGAAACCGCGATCTTACCAGTGGTCAGGCCAAAAATTTGGATTCGTTATGTAGACGATACATTCGTCATCGTCAAAAAGGATGAACTAGAAAACAGCTACAGGCTGATCAACTACGTCTTTAATGACACCATGTTCACAGTGCAACAGGAGTCAAACGACAAGCTATCATTCTTGGATATTTTAATCACCAGAACCGAAACAGGTAAACTGGAGATTCAAGTATACAGAAAGCCAACCCACACTGATCAAATTCTTAACTACAATAGCAACAACCCACTTACTTACTTACTTACTCACGCCTGTTGCTCCCAATGGAACATAGGCCGCCGACCAGCATTCTCCAACCCACTCTGTCCTGGGCCTTCCTTTCTAGTTCTGTCCAGTTCTTGTTCAGTCTTCTCATGTTTGTATCCATTTCCCGGCGTAATGTGTTCTTTGGTCTTCCTCTTTTCCTTTGGCCTTCAGGATTCCATGTGAGGGCTTGTCTTGTGACACAATTAGGTGATTTCCTCAATGTGTGCCCAATCCACTTCCATCGCTTCCTCCTGATTTCTTCCTCTGCTGAGATCTGGTTTGTTGTCTCCCACAGTAACATGTTGCTGATAGTGTCTGGTCAACGGATCCGAAGTATCTTGCGTAGACAGCTGTTGATAAACACTTGTATCTTCTGGATAATGGCTTTCGTAGTTCTCCACGTCTCCGCCCCATACAATAGAACTGTCTTGACATTTGTATTTAAAATTCTGACTTTGGTGTTGGTTGACAATTGTTTTGAGCTCCAGATGTTTTTCAGTTGTAAGTATGCTGCTCTTGCTTTGCCGATCCTCGCTTTCACATCTGCATCTGATCCACCGTGTTCATCAATTATGCTGACCAGATATGTAAAGGTTTCCACATCCTCCAAAACTTCTCCGTCAAGTGTAATTTGATTGGTGCATGTTGTATTGTATCGGAGAGTCTTGCTTTTCCCTTTGTTTATATTGAGACCTACTGCTGCTGAGGCTGCTACTACACTGGTCGTTTTCTCCTGCATTTGTTGTTGCGTGTGTGATAGAAAAGCCAGATCATCTGCGAAGTGTAAATCGTCCAGCTGCATCCTACCTGTCCACTGTATTCCGTGCTTTCCTCCAGATCTTGACGTCTTCATGATCCAGTCGATCACCAGGAGAAAGAGGAAGAGTGAGAGTAAGCAACCTTGCCTTACACCGGTCTTTACTTCAAACGAGTCGGTGAGTTGTCCTCCGTGGACGATTTGGCAGTTTAGTCCATCATAGGAGTTACGTATGATATTGACTATCTTTTCAGGCACGCCGTAGTGTCGAAGAAGCCTCCATTGTGTCGTCCGGTCCACACTATCAAATGCCTTCTCGTAGTCGATGAAGTTGATGTAGAGTGATGAGTTCCATTCGATTGATTGTTCCACAATGATCCGTAGAGTTGCGATTTGATCTGTGCACGATCAATCCTTACGAAATCCAGTTTGTTGATCTCGAAGTTGGGCGTCTACGGAATCCTTCATCCTGTTTAACAATACTCTGTTGAAGACTTTTCCTGATATTGAGAGAAGAGTGATGCCCCTGTAGTTATCGCACTTGCTGAGATCGCCCTTCTTTGGTATCCTGATCAGAAGTCCCTTTTTCCAGTCTGTTGGTACTTGTTCTTCGTCCCAAATCTTACTGAAGAGTGTGTGGAGTATCTTTGCAGTTACTGCTATATCTGCTTTTAGGGCCTCTGCCGGGATGTTATCTGGTCCCGCTGCTTTGCCGCTCTTGACCTGTCTGATGGCCATGCTTATCCCTTCAATTGTTGGTGGGCCAACATCGATTGGGAGGTCCTTGGGTGCTGCTTCGATATTGGGTGGGTTCAGTGGAGTTGGTCGATTCAAGAGTTCTTTGAAGTGTTCTACCCACCTGTTCGGTTGTTCTTCAGTGTTGGTGATTACTTTGCCTTCCTTGCTTTTCACTGGTCTTTCTGGTTTACGGTAATTTCTAGCAAGTTTCTTTGTTGTGTCATAGAATGGTCTCATGTTTCCCTCTCTTGCAGCCTTTTCCGCTGTCATTGCTAAATCTTCCACATGTTTACGTTTGTCGGTTTTGATGCTCCTCTTCACTTGCTTGTTTGCCTCTGTGTATTCGGCATGTGCCTTGGCTTTTTCTGCTCTTGTTCGGCTGATATTGACTGCTGCCTTATTATTCCTCCTTTCTTCAATCTGATACGGTGTATCAACAGTGATTCATTCCTTGTGGTGATGGTTTTTGTGGCCCAGGACCTCCTGACATGTTGAAGTGACTACCTCTTATATCCCTTTCCAGTTGCTCTCCATAGTAGTTCCCACTTCATTGAATAGATCATATATTTGCATATACAATGTCTTGTATCTGAGTTTCGCTTTTGAGTTGACTTTCATCAGAAAGTCAAGATTACCACTCTATTCTCCGATCTCCTATTTAAAACGCCTTTCTAGGACATTGTTCTCGAGGGCACCGAGACTATGTTCTGAAGATTCACTTGTTAGTGCATCGAGACTTATCTGAAGAACTTTAATGAACAGTGGTTATCTTGTAAAGTCTATTCACAAACACGTTATTTCAAAAAATGAAATATCGCAATTACTCATTGCTTCTAAAATTTATGTATTTTTACGTCAGAAAAACAGGGTGAATCTTATCTAAAATAATGTAATAGAAGTACATTTAAGGATATGACCGTGGACGACTTAGATTTACTCAGCAGAACTTCAGAAAGAAATATTGTGGATACGGGCAATGGCGTAGATACGGTACAATTTTTTGGGTAGTATATGGAACGAATAACAGTGGGTTTCTGAGTTAAACAAATGCAGCAATCGTTCATTGCCTCATTCTTATATTTGTGAAAAGAGTCTTTGGTTCATTTGATATAATCGTGGTTATCTAATTTACATTTTTTTAATGCTTCCCAGAACAACATTTGACTTTTTATCAATTAACCCATTCAAGTATCTGCGTTTTTGTCATAGAACCTTGTTTTCTCACTTCTCTTTGTTTGATATTCTCGTAACTTCCTTATAGTCGTTTATCGAATAGCATCGTAAAAAACAATCCTCGATCAACAGTATGCAATATTACTGATCCAAAAAATGTCACCGAAGGTGAAGAATTGTCAAATAAAACTGCCTCACTAACTTCCTTATCGACATCTTTATCAACAAACAAGATCCAATCTCAAAGTTCTCTGGCAATAAAAACTGGAGATTATCCAAACGATTTTAATGGTGGTGAAAACGATCTAGACATCTCAAAACGTGAGCAGTCAAATAAACCAATATTATCTATTATGAAACATAATGAACTTCATTTAAATAATGACATATCAATGAATCCCAGTTTAGCTACGGTAAAAATTAACAGACCTAAAACGGTACTTGATAACGCTAATTTACCAAAGAAATTAACACATAGAGTTTCTTTAAGTTTTACAGCAAATAACCATTCAGATTCAGTTGACCCTAGAATAGATCAGCTAGATACAATTCGATCATCTCCTGGTCGATTCAGTGGGTGCATCGAAAAAGAAGCTTATGTAAAAAATGTCAATAAACCAGCTCGACATTCACTGAGTGAACTATTTAGAGAAGTAACACAAAATACACGTAATCCTAATGATTGCTTTTCTACAGAAACTTCACTAGCTGATCGTGCTCATGTTTCTTGCATAGCATTTCTACATTATTTGGTGAGTAGATGTTTCTATATATATCAAGATTTTGAGCTCAAAATGGCCTTTTTAATTTCCTACACAGTTATTTCTTTCGTAACAATTTTATATAACATGTATAGTTTTAGAAAATTTTAAAATTAAAACTTGGAATACTTGTACATCATAATGGGTAATTGGGAAAAAGCACATTAACTGAAAGCGACAAAAGCGTCAGCAATTTCCAACTAACGGTAAACTGAAATCGTGTACAGAATACTGATACTGAAACAATCTGTATCTACCAATACACTGTCTTTCTGTACTTTTCGAAAAATTGCAGGAGTATGTGATAGCTATTTTGGAATAAATGTTTGAATTACAGTAGATAAGTAAATGATGCGAAAAGTTATTGAATTCCTTAGAGTCCATAAATTTAAGTAGTTAAGTGGTATTTATGATATTGGAAAGACAACGTACATATTAGTTTATTCTGCTAGTTTATTATTCAAAATAAGAATGTCACATCCATGTAAAAAACACTTCTATTCTGAATTCATCTCTCAAAATTAATTTATTTCTAAACTAAATTATGTGACAAAAGTAATATGCTATGGCTACTTGTTACCACACGCCACGTAGTTTTGGTTAAACCAGTGATTACACTCTGAGAATCTTCTAGTAGTAGTATATGCAACTTTTGATACCGCAGTAAAGGATAGTATTTAATTACAGTAATCACCTTTTACTTTATTCATAAACCGTATATCGTTCAAAGAATTACTAAGTCAGAATAGTCATATCTAATAAAGATGAATCTTTTGTTCACTTGTAAACTATATTACACTGAGATTATTTAACTGTCAAGTCAAAATACAAAAAAAAATCAACTATTACTATTTCCGGCATTGATCCACTTTTTCAAAGTTACTTTTTTTTGTTTTGTTTACTACCTCAGTTATCTAGAAGTGATTTGGCTTTAACTACACAAGTTAAACTTTCACAATTTCGATATGTGAATGTACATCATGGTATATTTCGTTTACGATTATTACATTTCTTCATTGTATTTTGTGTAGTAATTACATGCTCAATACTTATACCTGGGATTATATTTACCTATTTAGAACAGAATTGGACATATTTTGATGCAATTTATTTTTGTATCATATCACTTAGTGCAGTTGGTTTTGGTGATATGGTGGCAAGTGAAAGTAAAGACAGTAATGTATCATCAATAGTAACAATATTATATGTGAAAAATATTTACAGAGTAATGACTGCAAGTGAGTCCTACATATTTAATTATTATTTGAATACTTGACTGATATACTTATTGGAAACAGATCACATAATATAAAGACTGAGTGTAAAGTGTTACTCAATTTCGCCATTGACCAGAAATGCACACATTCAAGTTTCAGCAAATTCCTATTTCTAATATGGCAGCATAGAATAGCGTGCCACATTTCATAGTCTTAATAATAAAAATAATAAGTTAGTATATTGTTGATATTTTTTATTGTACTTTCCAAGAATAATTCCAAACTAGACTGCTATAGAGCTGAATTCTCAGCTAGATGTAGAATCTGTCTATTATCTTGAGCACCATATTAATTCGTTGTACTACCATATTTATACACGGTATATGATGTTAATATGTTTTGAATAGATTAGATAATGTTTTTTAAATCGTAGCTTGATATTTGTAAATGAATTCAAAATGAAGCCTAACTGTTTAAGGTCAAATGTAGAGAAATGTTAAAATTTATTTTATATTACAAAAGTTAATTAGGGAGTCTCCATTGAAGTGCAACTATTATTTTAAAGTTGTTTTTTGATTGCATTATATTCCTAATCTGAATACCAAACAAATCAATTGAATAGTTTTACTTCAACTAAAACGTAAGCAGGTCTTAAATCTACCCATGTAACAGCTCACGGTTGCCATATAAATGACGACCTCAAAATTACTTCTAAGTCTAGAGAAACTTAAGTTTCATTTATAACCTAAAATTAAGACAGCGGAAGAAACCTACTCCATTATTACGAAAACAAAAGCTATTCAGCTAAGGAAATTTTATTCTCAACAATATCATCTATCAGAGATGTACAGTCGTAATCATAGTTAGCTTTACACACAGCTAATAGCAAAGAGATGTTGCACGATTTACCGAAGCTATTAAAAATTATCGAATGTTTTCGAATACCGAGCAAAAGTCGGCTTATAGTTTTTAAGGTGGAGAGACTTACTTACTCCTGTTACCCCCTGTGGAGATATATAGGCCTCCCACCAGCATTCTTCATCGAACAGCAGCAAAGTAACATAAAAATAACCTACAAAGGAGGGTGAAAGATAGCTGTCAATCTTAAGAATCTAAAAAGGATGTAGAATAAAAAATCAAGGGGAAACCACAACCTTTAAAATTAAGATTGTCAAAACAATCATAAAGTTGAAGATTGCCCATTTCTGTCTTGTCTACTAAAGCAAATTCAAATCACTGCACAAATTTGTGATCCAAACTCCTGTTAAGCCAGTTCTTTTGATTTTGTAGACGCTCTTGTAAGACAATTCCAGTAGAGCTACGTGACGAAAGTTAACTACGAGTTCAATAATTCAATCATGAACTGATTGGTGACCACCTCAGAAAGTACTAGGACACGCGTTCATAAACTTCACGCTTTTTGTAATCAATATTACCTACTATCCAAGAACAAATAAACAAGTAAACACTAAGTTCACCCAAAGTTGCAGTTTATCCTTGATACTTTCCTCCAAGCGGATACCTATTGAAGTGACAAATTCAGAGCTCAGCTAAATAAAAAATTATTTCACTGAATCTTAATAGTCGGTTTTCATTTTTTCTGCTTCTGTGTTCTGTTCGAATTCTATATTCATGAACGAAATCTATTTTGGTATTGTAAGAGCTTTGCCAGTTTGAAGTTTTGATTTCAAATTGCGTTTGATGAACCTGTGAGGTCAACCAATATCCATAAGTATTTAGTGAATTTAACCAATCAAATATTGATTGTTGCTTTCATTTATATTTAAAGGTTTTCTGTTAATATATTACTAGCTATAATAAATATCTACCTATTGTATATTCCTAGGTGCGAATATCCAAACCATCACAAAGTCACGAAAGATTTGCATATTAATAGACAATAAGTTAAAGATTGGTTTGATTATTGGATTGTTGAAAATTTTGTGAATTAAATTGTCTTAGCTTATTAGTTGAGTAGATTGCAACCAATAGACACTGAGTCCCATTCTGTTAAAAGTGATAAATCATTACTTTCACGTCATTCCAAAACAGAAGAAGGAGAAATTTGGTGCCTCCATATTTTTAATATCTTTCAATTGATGATAATTCCTGATAAAAATTACTCTAGAGTAAACTATTATTTTAGAAAACTGCTTTAATATCAATCATTATTTGATAGTCGGAATAAACATCCAGTTAATCACAAACCAATGTATTATGTTTATTTAGTATTAACAGAATATTATATAGTGCAACCACCATCCAATTTCTCTGGTAATAAATACTTCGTTCGCTGAGACATTTATCCAATTTACTTAAGTTGGGAACGTACATTACTTGATTTTAATACGGTGATACAGTAGTTAAGCAATATCCGCGAGACTAGGGGGTTTTGAGTTCGGTCCCTGGTAGATCATGAGAGCGTACTCCGAAAGGACCCCACAATGAGATAAAAGATCTCTCAACTGCTACCTGTTTTAGTAGTATTCCAAATGATGTTGGTCTATGACAATCGTCATATACAAACTAGAACTTTTCTGAAGAACTCCTTAATTTCTTTAGTTATATTTGTTTCTTAAGTTGCTGTCAGTTTAAGTCGAAAAGTACCATAAAATAAATCCTGTACTTAAATCAGCAACTGATATAAAAAAGTTCAGTCAAAAATTATAGTCAAATAATAACCTTTATTTTAATTACAAATAACACTTTTATTTCTTTATTTCTAGTTTATTTAGTGTTGGGAACCACATTAATCGCCGTTTTAGTGCGAAGTTTTCAAGAGATTATTGACTATGAGTTTTTAAATGTAACAGGAGGGTACTACGACGAAAAATTCGGTGAACATATAGCACAAAATCCATGTTCGGAATTATTTTTTGATGATACTACACCTTCACAGAATCGCAAAAGCCAATTAAAGCATAGAGATATAGGCTGAGAGAATGTATTTCAATTACAAATAATACGCAGTTATCTTACATTTTCATGGTGTATATAACACCACACGTCTTTCTAGGTAATTTAAATTAAACAACTGTTATTTTTTATCCACGAACTTTTTCATAATCTTCCGGCAGTATACCTATTAGATGAAATCCAATAAATCGACCAACTGATGTATATTATCACCTGTAATTTTATCATCCATATAACACTAAATATATCACGTTATTGCTGCCGCCACTATTTTAACAGTTTATATTCGCTACAAAAATGATAGATCCGGCGTTTTCTTTATAAATTCGTCGTAATCACTAAATTGAAGTATTGCTCTGTTGCTTGATAATGCCCTTAACCCCTAACAATTATTTAGTTGATCATTCGTTTTGCATGTAGCTTGGTCATCTGTTATAAATGTTCACAAAATCATTGAAAGGTTATTTACCAAAGAAGCGAATTTATAATGACGAAATTTGAAAAGGAAGCTCATATGTGAACTTGAATTACAATAATTGCTTTATTCAATATTATACGTTTAGTAGAGTAAAGTATTTTGAAGATAAAGTACTTGAAAATGTGGATTTTAATAGATACTGACTCTGCAAAAAATATGTACATAAGCAAGTTATAAATAATAAAGTGTACAGTTAAAAATAACATGCATTTATTTCCAACCACTAGTTTTTTCTAGATAATTCGATTGCTACACATTTTCCTCACAGATGGAGAGATTTTAAAAATTTTCGTACTTTTTGCAGGCATTCGATTTTTATGTATTTGTATCTCGTTCTTTGATCATTAGACGACAAAAAAGTTGTAAGGCCAGCGTATATATTCTTTTTGATAAACGATACTTGTTTATTGGCCGAGAAGTTTCAAATTACTCTTCGTAGCTATATTCATAATCAGACCGGCCAATGCATTATAAGTAACATTCCACCCCTTATGCAACATATAATTTGTCTGAAATGTTTAGCAACGTCTAAAGATATGTAGAATAATGATAGATCGTAACCAACAAGTCATTTAATCGGTGCAGTCACGAAACATATGCTGTTAACTTACGTACACCTGTTACCCCTCGTGGAAAACCATGAGAACCAACCAGCACTCTCCATCCAACTCTGTTCTGGACAATCCTTTCCAGTTGTCTCCAGTTTCTATTCATCCTTCTTGTGTCTGCTTCCCATTCTCGACGTGGTGTGTTCTTCGAGATTCCTCTTTCCGTTTCTCCTCAGAATTCCAGGTTAATGCTTGCCTCGTGATTCAGTTAGGTTAGTTCCACAATGTGTGTCCTATCCACTTTAAACGTCCTGTCCTAATTTACACTTCAGTTAGGAGCCGCTTTCTTCTCTCCAACAGTAGACTGTTGACGATGGTACCAGACCAACAAAAATTCATTATATCACATAGACGATTGTTCATAAATACTTGAACATTCTTGATGGTGGTTGTATTTGGGGATCTCGCTTTTCCTTCTGCTGCTGCACTGTTTGTCTTCACCAGCATTTGTTGGTGTGTATGGGATAGAAGAGCCAGGTCATTTGCAAAGTCCAAATCGTCTAGTTGCATCCATTTTGTCCATTATATTCTGTACTTTCCCTCTGATATCGAAGTCTTCATAAACCAATCGTCTACCAGAAGATAAAATGAGGGAGAGTAATCTGTCTTGTCTGACTCTGCTCTTCACTTGATATACGTCTATCAGCTGTCTGCCATGTACCACTTTGCAGCAATGATCGATTACGTTCCTATAGAACTGATCTTTATTGTTTCCGTTGCTATCATTGTGGGTGCATAACATTGGATAACATTCATTGTGATTCCCTCACTCTTTGTTTTAAATGATGCTTTGATGATTCTGGATCCATGAGATTCCCATTCTACGAGTGCATTTCTTACTTCTCTGGACAGCATTAGAGCAAATCCATGAGTGTGCGGAGCATTTTCCTCATCGCAACCGGAGTACAGAATCATCTTTCTTGTATCTAGCCTCTGTTGTCTAGCTTGGATTTAATGGATTTCGCTGATTTCAAGTACTACTAATTTTTATCTCGTCATTTCCGTTGCTATTTTACTGGTCTTCCCGGTCTCCCATATTGTCCGGACGTTCCATATACCTATAAAGAGTGTTGCTCTAATTGTTAGAAGCGGAATCCGTCTCATCACGTCCGACGAATCTCAGCTTTTATCATAACTGTTCGTTCAACTCGGAGAGCACAGTTTAAATGGTTTAAATTGGTTATTCAAGTCAGTATTTTTTGTAGCAAGATTGGTTTTTAGGATATTGGTTTGTCAACCCCATGTCCAACCCTTCTTTTTTACTCGGGCTTGGGACCAGCGGTAACTCTAGAAGAGCTACACGTGGCGTTTATTTTGTGGTCAATTTCAAATAGATATTATACGTACATTCAGCAGAAACACGAGCGTTATCATGAGCTCAGCTCTAGATTTGAACGAGACCATAGAGTGGGCAAGCATACCGATGTAAGCATTGTTACGAGGAACAACAAAATGCGCACCGAGAAGAAACAAATTATAGACAGTACTGAGATATGTGAATCTGCGGATTCAATTCCGCATTCATATATCAATGCAAAACAGGACATAGGGGAGCAATGTCTGGGCAGTGTAGAGAACGTGATCAAGAGACAATATAAGGCAAATTATTGGCTCAGAGTCGTACCCAGAAAAAGAAAAGTAGGAAAACAAATTGAGACCCCTGTTTTTGACGCTAAATTGGGATCGAATCGCTGGAGGGAAAAGGTTTCAGGATTTAAAACTCCACAGAGTTTTAAGACAAACCGCGTTGTCAGGTCAGTCACTTTTCATGAGTTAAGAGAAACCTCTGAAAAGTGACCAAAAGCTAGATTTTAGCACGACCTCAGTCACATTAATTCCTCAAAAAGTAAGCTACTCCCAAAAACAGTTTCAGGAGTTAGAGTCTGTATGCTGGATGGATCCTGAAAGTACTCAGAAAAGCCGCCCTTATCTTTATTTCGGGTGAAGAAAAAAACCTAGTACTGGGGAACCCACTCAAACTGGTTGGATGCGGAATATATATCCTTGAGGACCTCAGCCTGGTTGACCGTATCAAGAGACGATCCGCAGAAGCAATAATAAATGAGCGCCGCCAAAACGGTGAAAGTAACCTCCAAATTAAGGGTTTTCAAATTGTAAGCTTTCCGAGCCAAACGATCCTCAAACCACTTTGGGTGGTAAGGGAATGTCCACAGAATTAAAGCTGGTCTACAAAAATGCTCGCAGACTACGGAATAAAACGGAGGGAATCAAGACAATGGGGGACATTGAAAAACCCGATATCACTCCTGTCTCAGAAACATAATAGACGTCATATGTGTTTGATAAGGAAATTCAGTTGACTGGTTTTTAATTAAGTAGGGCTGATAGATTAAACCGTAGAGTAGCTGGCGTTATCCTGCACACAAAAATTACCTTGACCATGCGAGCTGTTGAGACAGGGGCACATGATTTAGGGGCATGTGAACTGGCCCGTTATATTCTGTAATGTAGACGGCAAGATATTGATTTGGTTGTAGTATATCGCATCCCGGAATGCGTAGTAGATGACTTCCTACTAAGCAAAATGATGTCTCGGTGTAATGTGGATAAAAGCCTTATAGTAGGCGACTTTAATGTACCGTGTAAAAGTTGTGTGAACTTAGGAGTAGGGTCATGGACAACATTGTTTGATTGCAAATTGTTTGAAACTACAATTGCACTAGCCTTATTATTAAAGATCCCATCAGATACGTGAGAATCTCCTCGTCTCTCTTGGACTAAGTCTTCACACACGGTCATGATGTCGGTCAAATGACTTTCCTACCACCTCTAGGTAGCTATCATGAGGTCGTCTTATTCAAGTTCATACATCGGATGGCCTGTCTAATAGTTACTCCATCCCATTCTTAAATATGGAAGGCAGATATGGAGGCGTTAAACTCTGCAGCATCTGCTGAAAAACTGTAAAATTGACTCAGAAGCATCAGTAGAAGAGTCATGGACTCATTCCAGGCAGTTATACAATCAAGTACCTCGAAGATTTACACGCTGGACAGTTTCGAAGAATAAGAAGCACGGTCACTCCTGAATAGACAAGGATATTCGTACACAAATTACAGGAGAAGAATACATCACTGGAATTCCAACCTAGTCAAGCATGTGAGCGGATCTGAAATGATAGAGGATGATCAGGAAAAAGCAGATGCTATAGTAAACGCTTTTGGGCAGTTTTCACGCAGGAGCCTCTTTCAGATGAAGAACTAGACCCAAATACAAAGTCAACATACCATCTGCTCACCATGGACCTTGGTCGAGACGATGAACATGAGGCACTGAGCGCCTTCGACACAGAAAAGTCATCAAGATCTGATGAACCACACGCCAAAATCCTGAGACAAATCACTCAATATATTGCAACACCACTAACTACGACATTCAATATGTCACTTGACAAACGTGTATTACCTGCAGATTAGAAGGATTCAATCGTCACTCCCAAACATAAAACGTGGCCAAGATAACTTCCAAAGGACTACAAACCTGTCAGCCTCACCAGTATTGTAGTTAAAACACTGGAAAGAATGATCAAAAAGACCATTATGACATTTGTGGAAACCAACAACTTGTTAAACAGCAAAAACACGGTTTCCGGAAAGTTTTATCTTGCGCAACAAATTCCCTAAAAGCAAAAGAGAAATCGATAGACGCTCTAGATTGTGGGAAATTATTGGGTGTTATCTGGCATAGACTTCAGCAAAGCATATGACAAAGTGCCAGCTAATAGACTGCTATTGAAGCTAGAAAATCTTGGCATTGCCTGACTCCTCTTAAAATGGTTTGAAGATTTCCTGGTAGGTCGTAGACAGAAAATAAGAGTGAATTCGAAGTGCTCCACCTGGAGACCAGTACTTAATGGAGTGCTTTACTTTTTTACACCGTATGTAAATGAACTGCCAAGTATAGTTTAGTCCCCAAAGTCATTATGCGCCGACGATGTAAAAATCTGGTGAGATATAACAAGAGACATAGATGCATGCGCACTTCAGGCGGACTTAAATACTGTGATTAACTGGTCTAAAGAGTGGCTGATGTCTATTGACGCAGTAACGTGTATCTACGTGCACTTTGAGGATCCAAACGTAAATACGTACAGCATAGGGTGAGTGCCTGTACCCGAGGCTCGGTCTAACAAGGATCTTGGGTTGATAGTAAGTCATGATCTTAAGACCATGGCCCATTGCCGGGAGGTTGAAGCCCAGGGGTTTAGGACCCCATGGGCTTTAAGATGGACATTCACCAAGTTAGATACTAACATGTTCAGTACAGTATACACAACCATAGTGAGAGCTAAGTTTGAAAACTGAGTTCCGGTTGCAAGCCCTTGTTTAAAAGGTAACTCGGATATCCTCAAAAAAATACAGAGGGCAGCTACCCGGTTCCATTCCACAACACCGAGGTTTACCATACGAAGAGTGGCTTGAAAAGCTAAACCTCTTTATTCTGTCCTGTCACAGATTATGAAGTGATCTGATTTTGATGTATAGAATACTAAGAAATGATTTGGGACCTAATTTTTTTTTCCTACTTGATCAGGACAACTCATAGAACATAGCAGGCAAGTAAAAAAGGCAAGAATCAACAAAATACCTGTGGCATACAGGTTTTCACATAGAGTTATCAATTACTAGAACCTGTGACCCAAAGCAGTGGTGAATACACCTCCACTGACTCATTCAAGAGAAGACTAGGCGCTCATAGAAGCATATAAGAAGAGGAATAACATAGGCTGTAGGCCTTGTGATCTTACGATATACATTTGAATCTGAGATGTCTGTAGCCTTTCAAATATAACTTCGAACTTCTTTAGTTCTGACTTTC